AAGTAACACAGCTACTGTTTGTTATTTTTGGTAACAATTGTGTTATTAAGTTACATTTTAAAATAGTCACATTTTCATTTTAGTGTAACAAGCAATGTTTTCTGTTATCTTTAAATGTTAGGTGCATTTGACAGCAATTTGTCAAGTTTTATGCCATTTTCTTATGAATCCTCTTGTGAATTCTTACGGTACAACAATTGGCCAGTAGAGAGAACCAGACCTTCTTGGTGATAACTGCAATGCTATGGAATGCTATTACCCGCAGATACATGCCAGGCCCCCTGCCCCTTGTCCTTCTGAAAACAGTTTAAAACCATATTGTTCAAAGAGGCCTTCGGAAACATCTTACCCATGTGACATCTTTGTGAGCCATGGACTGACTTGTACCAAATTGATATTTATTTTGATTTGCTGTCCAAGTTTCCATCTTTTGGGGGGATACCTTGGGTTTTTAATGTTTCTTGGTTTTCTGTTTATTTCCTTGTGGGCGGCATTGGGTTGTGGTATTTTAATTGTTGTTAGCTGCAAAGAGTAATTCCCCCAGCACTAGATGGGGGCGGATATAATGGCAATGAATGAATGAATAAATATTTAAAAAGTTATCAGTTTTTTCAAAGTCATAGCAGATCTCATGGTAGTATGTATCAAATGGACTATATAACAGTTTTTTGTTCTTCATTTTACATTCGCCATGTAAAGAATTGTATTTATTAGTTAAATGTACCGTATTTTTCGCACCATAAGACACACCTTTTCCCCACAAAACGGGGGGTGGAAAGTCTGTGCGTCTTATGGAGCGAAGAAAACAGATTATATTTTCCTGTTTTCTTCTCCTAAAAATTGGTGCGTCTTATGGAGCGAAAAATACGGTATATCCTTCCTTCATTCCAGTGAGCTCAGGTTTGACTTGGGAGAACACATGACTCCCTGTCCTCCCACCCCATCCTCACTTTTCCTTACAAAACCTTGCAAGGTAGGTTATGATGAGAAAGACTTTACTGGGTTTCATGGCCCATTAAGGCACATGGTTGACTCAGCCTTCTATCCTTCCAAGGTCGGTAAAATGAGTATCCAGCTTGCTGGGGGGGGGGCAATGTGTAGCCTGCATAATCAACTTGTAAACCGCCCAGAGAGTGCTTGAAGCACTATGGGGCGGTATATAAGCAGCACGCTTTAAACTAGGCTCTCTTCAGCCTCAAGCTGAAACTCTAGCCCCATTACACCATGTAATCATTCATATTTAGTTCTAAATATTCCTTGCTTGCCTTCGTGGAACGTATAAAAACATCTTGCAATCATCTTTGAAATCCCGGAAGGAGTTTGTAACATTCAAAATGTGCCACTTCCCTTCCTAGGATCCTGAGAAAGTGGCTGAGGTAACATTACACAAAGAGTATAGGTAACATAGAGTAGACTGCTAAATCCAGAGAACTTTTCAGATGCCCTCTCATGTCTTGTGTCACCTGACCTTGATTTGTGCAGAACTAATTTATTTTTTGGCTGAGACAGCAGTTGGAAGCACTGAGAAACATGAAGCATATGGTTTCCTTTTCTTTATACTTCAGCCTTTGTTTTCATAGAAAACAGTTCCCCTGCCTGATATGTCTTCAGCCTCCTTTCAGAACCACTGCTACAAACTGATGACTTTGCAACCCAGGGTGGGGAGCAGCATACTTAAGGAGCTCCTGGGAGCTACGTACACAGTCATTACACTTCATTACAAAACACGCCTGGAAAATGCTCTGAAAAACATTCTGCTTTCCACTGAATTTCACAGCTTCAGCGATGTTGTCATGCCCATCAGGTAGATCCATTAGAGAAGTAGTAGGAGATAGGCCGGCCTCATACTTTCCAAAACAAACTTACATTATATCATTTCAGGCTGATCTTGTGGTTTGTACCCAATGCCTATTTTAGAAACATTCATAGCTTCGCAGAAGCTCACTGAAACAGACTTTTAAACATTTTTTTCCTCCCCCACCACTTTTTTTTTTAAACTGCCAAGTAAAACCAGCTCAGGGCTTTTCGGTTTCTTTTTCCAGTATCTAGACTGCGTGCTGCCCCCACTGAGATCATACAGCAAAGGCTTTATTT